ACATGACTGCATGGTTGTACGAGTATGCCAAGAAGAATATGTCGAAGCACGGCAGAGTGTACAGTGTGTATGTGTGTATCAGCTGGACATTGGGGCAGGAGCTTTCAAGCGAGCTTTCGTGACTCATCGGAATGCAGTGATCACAGCTGTAAAGAGAATCTACAGGACAAGTGATTGTAATGGAAGGGAGAAGGAAGAAGTGTTTAAAGAAGATTTTCAGATTGAGCAAAAGCACATAGGGAAATGGAGAGAAGCGATCGAGGCGGAAATGAAAATCAGACACAGTGCAACTTATCGCAGACCATCGGGAGCGCGATATTTGGTGGGATCGACCTTAGCTCCAATGTGCAAGAGCAGATACCCAGTGCATTTCGTAGCTGTGGATGTGAAAAGTACGAGAACGATCGTGGATCAGGCCTTCTCAGTGCCAAAGTGTGTGAGATCAGCGAGAATGTCCGAAAGATCTTATGAGTTACATGTCCGAAGTGAGATCTGCGAGAATGTCCGAAAGATCATATGAGTTACTGTGCAAAATGTTCTCAGCAGTTCCAGAGATAGCTAACGAGGAGTTGGAATCGATACTGGGAAAGAAGATCATGGGATATGATAGTGGGAACTTCAGTGACTTTGAAAAACAAAAACAGAGAGGATCAACCGTTACGGATTACAATACAGTAGATGAGAATGATGAAGACCACCGAGTGATAATGGAAGTGGAACAACTAATGGAAGATTCGGGAAAGCGTAACTGGAGGAGCATCATGTTGACACATGACGAGTTTCCTTGCCATTGCTTGCTGCAAACATGGTGGTACCCCGAATGTAGTAATCTGGTGTTGATCTGGGACTCTGGAGAGCTGCTCTCCATGGGTTTACCAGATTCATCACGGCCCATAACAGTAGTGATAGTGAGATTTATGATGGCGATACGATGGCTGGAAGCTCATGTGAGGGAGAACAATGGACAGGAGGCACCAACGCGCGAACAATTGCAAAAATTGGATTGTCTAAAAGATTTAGATCTTTTTGAGACAATGTGCAAGATTCAGAACATTCCGTTAGAAGTGAAAAAGATATGGGCAAGGAGACGACTGATGCCATGGCTTAGAGCCAACATGACTGCATGGTTGTACGAGTATGCCAAGAAGCATATGTCGAAGCACGGCAGAGTGTACAGTGTGTATGTGTGTATCAGCTGGACATTGGGTCAGGAGCTTTCAAGCGAGCTTTCGTGACTCATTGGAATGCAGTGATCACAGCTGTAAAGAGAATCTACAGGACAAGTGATTGTAATGGAAGGGAGAAGGAAGAAGTGTTTAAAGAAGTTTTGGAGAGAAACGTGACGTTGTGTCTCCACAACAGCTTCTGCAGGAACAGAGAATCTAACGTGGATCCCCTACCTTGTTGTAAACAAAGGGTAGAAGAGCAGAAGTGTTGGAGGACTGCTTCCAACAGCGTCAGAATAGCTAACGATGTGAAAAACTAAGCAACCAAGTTGTAATTGAAAGCTGAAAGAAAACATTTAGTTGAGTTTTGAGCATTAAAAAATTTGTTGCATTTATAAATTTGTATTTTCATTTTAGTTAGTGGCTTTATAGGCACTCACTATTTATTTAGAAAGGCTTGAGTAAAGAGTATATTTAAATATTCTAGCCTGCATGATTGTTTTTAATCAACTAGGAAAATTGATCATTTTGTGGTGACATGAAAGACTTGGATAATCTCTTGGAGAAGGAGTTTGTTTCATTGTTCTTTCTAACCACAGAGTTCCTTAATTTTAATATTCAGGACAATAACAACCAAGATTTCCGAAGGAAAGAAGCATAATCGGATAATTTTAGCTTGTTGGTTGGCAGGACTGTCCTGCAAACTAACACCTTTTAAAACCTAGGAGAAAAAACTTTAAATCAGGGTATTGACATTGGAAGTCAGAAAAAATGTTTTATCTTAAGTCATATCCTCGAAAGTACAGATTAGTGAAAGAATTTGGAAGGCTATAGTAGTGTAGTATGATGCCAATTATAATCTGCAGTGAGTCGATATGACGTGGATAAGAGTAATTTCGTGCATTTTGTAAATTCTGTTCGATGACACTGTACCATGTCCGGGGAGTATGTGACATTCGACCAGAATTGACAAAAATGCAGATTCGGAGATTTCGAATAGTTAGCAGCTAACCTTCCGAATTGACAGTTTTTAGGGATTAGTGACTTTATTGGGACGATAAGTCCAACGGTGAAGGTCATGATATTCTGTTATTTTGAAATTTTTAAAATTTGAACTGAGAAGTCGAACTACTGAGAAACGGCAAAAACTTCCATTTTGGAAGAAAACCAAAAGAAAATCAGAACAACAATAGTTGCGACGAAGATAACTACGAAAAAATCGAAGATCAGAATCGAAGGAAAAGCAGAGTTAGCAGAGACAACTCCGAGTTGCAACGATTGTGTCGCTACAATCGTTGCAAGGCCGTTCACAACAACGGTGAAGGGTAGAAAAACAGCCTTCCGGAAAGAAGATAATGGCGTTATTTCCCCGGATTCGGGAATCCAGAGGGGTCTCGGGGTTTGAACTGAAACTGTTTTATATAAACTTTTAGCTTCCCGGTTATGTCTTGAATTGAATTTATTTAACATCTGAATTAATTTTACTACGATGAGAAGCTAGGAGTTGGGGGAAAGGACTGATCCATCTTCGGCGGAGATGATGATTTTTATCTACTGAACAAAAACAATAGTAATATAACAAATAGTAGTAGCCCTGTTTTTAGGAGTGACCTCGTGGTCTGGGGATACTGAGACCCAGCCATGAGCTCACTAATTTTGCATGTAATTAAGTTAATTTGAGCGTTCTGGTCGAAGACGGAGAACAGTAACGTTTTTGTCGACCCGATGTTAGAAAGGCCACCTAAAGAACTGGCTTTGGTAGAGACGGTGAAAAGCATGTAGAGCTCTGTTTAGAAGTTGGCCAGTCGTTTTAGAACCTAGCTTTATTTTCCGTCGATATGTACTTCCGGTCGAATGTTACATCTACGAGAGTTTTCTCCTTTGTCGCATGGATCCTGCTATTCACGCTCGGAACGTTTTTCTGAAGAAGAAACATCACCATCTGACATCCAGGTCATCGGTCATCACTCTTTAAAACAAGTTATTTTTTTAATGTCCATTTTTTCAGTTCATCGTTAAGCCTCTTTGGCATTTGGTTACTATATATTGGCTGGACTTTGTGAGTTTTTCCCTCCTAAATAATTTTTATGTTTGGTTGGTGTTCCATCGAAAAGAGCGTAAAATAAATAATGAGAGTGAAAAAATTATGATTGAGTCTAGATATAATTTTTATGGTCAAGATTTTGTTGAGGAGTCATGAATCAAGGTCAAGGTCAACATTGACTTTTGTCAAGTGTGAAGATGAAGATTGGGTAGTCAAGATCAAGATTCAAAAAAGTCAAGATCTTGACAACCCTGGACCAGACTCGATAAACAAACATGATTGAGAGATGGACTGACGCTGTGTAGTCTTGTTAAAGACAATATCTTCACGGTTTCTCAGCGAAATTTTGTTTGTTCTGATTGCTTAGTTTATGATTCTTCGACAAAAATTAAGTTATGCTATTTGAATTTTTGCATCGTGGTCTGGTCTGGTAAGTCTGGTTTTTCTCGTAAATGTCAAAGATAAAAAATTAGAACAGCCGAATGCAAATTGTTTCAATCGTAGAGCGCATTGTGATATGAAGATATGATCTTGATTTGAAGACATCAATGTTGCATAAAACGTTTTCGACAAAAAGTCATTATCAGTAGAACTGAAGAACTCTCATGTTCATATTGCAGTTTTATCTGTACTGTTAGCAGTTTTATCTGTTTTTTTTTAGATTCTACTGATGATGACTTTTGTCGAAATTCTGTTATGCAACATTGATGTTTTTCCAAAGATCATGAATTCAAATAGTGTACTATTTAAGGAAGAGTTCACTTGACAGCCTATTTGAGTTCAAACATTTGAGTTTGTCTCTGAATTGAATTTTCTTTTTAATACTTTCTTTTTGCTATGATTAATTGCGTAATGTGAAAATGTAATTTAAATCTGAAGTTGACTGACACTTGCCTCATTATATTTTTTAAATTTTGCTTTAAAGAGTTCTTTTTTTTAAACGAGCATGAAAGTCGCCATGCGACTATTTCATTTGTGCTGTGAAGGTTTTTCTTCAATATACAGAGCGTAACTCGACTTCTGCATGCTTTCACACTTGGTGTTTGATATTGTCTAAATTTTAGTGTTTCAACATTTACTGTAGACAAAATTATTGTAGACACATTTTAGTTAGGTTTCCTGTCAAGATTTGCTTTAAAAACATTAAAATTTGTGAAATTTTTCAGTTAGATTAACCGCTAAGTTGTTCAACAGAATTGGAATAATCAGAAGTACCAATTAAATGGTATTTTTTGAAGACAGCAAATTGTCTATGTAATAATTCCACCCTAAAATAAATTCAGTTGTCCTAATTTACCTCTTTCAAATTTTGCTTTCAAAAGTTGGTTGGGAAGAAATAGGTCTAGTAGCCACAATTTTTTGTCCAAATAATTCGGAAAAACTCGCTACTATATTCAATTTTTGTCTGGTTTTTATATGGGACCATTGGGAGCTTTCCAGGACCATACTTCTAGTTGACGTTTGTATCGGGACCATACTTCTAAAAAGGCAAACCTAAGTTTTACAAGAGACCAGTTTGTAAGATTCTCTGAATTTTGATTCATCTGAGTTTTTTCGATCTGTAAAATTAGTTTTCGTCTTTTATGTTTTGTCGTTCACGAATAAGAAGTTTACAATTTATGCGCCGAAATTCTCCTATGAACGATAAAAAGAAAGATTCGTCAAGTTAACATCTATCAGCGGGCTTTTTTTGTCATACGTCATTCATTTTTGTATCAAAAGTAGTGTGAAGCTCCTGTTCGCCCTTGAGTTGTAATTTATTTCCATAGTTCATTTTTTTGTGGTTTCAGAAAACCATGTCGGCCAAACCCCTTTCTGACGAAGATAAGAAGAAGCAAATCAGTGTCCGAGGTATTGCTCAGGTAGGTTCAAAAAATTGTTTGAATCTTGAACCGTGTTCTTGTAAATCTCTTTTTCTATGACATGATCAATTTACAGGTAGAGGATATCTCAGGAATCAAAGAAGCATTTAACAGGCATTTGCATTACACCCAAGCGAAAGATAGAAAAGTGGCAACTGAGCGTGATTATTTTTTCTCGCTTTGCTATACAGTCAGAGAGAAGCTTGTTGGCAGATGGATTCGAACCCAGCAGCACTATTATGAGAAAGATCCGAAGGTAAAAGATGAGATATGAGTTTTCCTATCAGAGTTGTCAAGAGTGCAAACAAGAGCTCAAATCTATGAAAACCTCATTTTTGCGACCATACGTATAGGCGCGGGAAGTAACTATGTCCTAGGGTGTAATTTTTCTAGACGTTTTTGACTACCCAAAGAAGCCTAAAAAAGCTGTCTCAGTGGCGAGAAAAATTGGTCTGATTATCATTGGTTTTCAGAGTGTATGTCCCGAAATGGAAAAATGGCAGGTTGTGTCTACTCTAGAGATCTAATTCCGTGAGAATGTTCAGATTGTTAGCCCGTTTTTGCAGTTTGAACCTTCAATCGCCGTTTACTGGAAAAATAAACCGAAAATTTGAAAAAAAAGTTCTCATAGTCGGAGCATTTTGTGCTTCTTGAACAGCTACCGTCTATCTTTGATTTCTTATAAATATGTTTAGACCAATTTACTATTAAGCCAATTGTGTTAGCAACTGATGATACAATCATACTGAGAATATGTACTTTAAGCATCTATGCAATTTACACACAGTTCGTAGCAGAAACGACTGCTGAAGTTTAGAATTCTGAATGTTGTTTGTGTGTTCTAGAGAGTGTACTACTTGTCTCTGGAATTCTATATGGGGCGTACATTGACCAATACTATGGCGAACCTGGGTATGCAGTCGCAAGTTGATGAGGCGCTCTATCAGATGGGATTGGAACTTGAGACCCTTGAAGAGAAGGAAGAAGATGCTGGACTCGGAAACGGAGGACTGGGTCGTCTGGCAGGTCAGTAAATTTTGCGACCTATTTGATTGACAATTAAATTCATTGATTTTGTTTTTATCACGATGCAAATGCAAGTTTCATTTCTTTTACTAATTGCCCGATTAGTAGTGACCTGAATGAGCCTCTAGGTAGCATGCACTACTGGTTCTCAGTAATGTATTCTTAGTTTTGGCTTAAACCAATGCAGTCCTTTTTTATAGCTTGTTTCCTTGACTCTATGGCAACTTTGGGTCTGGCGGCATATGGATACGGGATCAGATACGACTACGGAATCTTCACCCAGAAGATTTTCAATGATGAGCAACATGAGGAGACTGATGATTGGCTCAAGTTTGGCAACCCATGGGAGATTGCAAGACCAGAGTACCAGATCCCGGTGCACTTCTACGGCAAACTTCACTACCCCAAGGAGGGAGGAGCGCCGCAGTGGGTCGACACCGAGGTATCAATTATATTTTCCAACCTTCCTTTAAAAATTGTACAGGTCGATCGTTCATTTTACCAAGTTTCAACTTTTCGAATAATTAAGAGTCATCATGCCACCCCTTCTTTACTGAATGTAGAAAAGCTAGCTTACGATTTCACATTTTGTTCTCTCCTATTTTGCAAATAAAAGTGCTCATTTGGTGGCTCTTTGCTGGCATAGAATTGGCAATTAACTAAGCATCTGTTTTATTTGCTTTATTTCTGGCTAGTGATTGCCGATTTTCGAAAGATCATGGCGAGGAAGCGTGACTCTTAAACTCGAGTTCGGGGGCTCGACACAATTTTTACGGCGTATTTTTGCCTTTTCTTTCCTTTTTTCATTGTTTTACCTTTATAGAGCTTCTTTTTACCGTTTTCTCGCTTGTGATTGCAAAGTGCACCTTCGCCTCTTTGTGAAAAAATGAATCGAAGTTAAATAGCTTATTTTTTAGTCACTTGGCTAGGTTTACTTTATAACACGGCTCAAAAATTTGGTATTAAATATTTAAATCCTAGTGCTTGATAGGTAGTGATGGCAATGCCGTATGACACTCCCATTCCTGGCTTCCGAAACAACTATGTGAACACTCTGCGACTGTGGTCTGCCAAGGCACCCACCGCCTTCCACCTGAGCTCATGTGAGTACACCGATGAATGTATACAGGGAACTGAGCTCAATAAACCGAAGTATCAGAAACTTACTAGATAAATAAACCGATTTACATTATTACGCAAGCGAGCTAGTAAGCAATATCAAATCGGCATATAGACTTTTTTCAGGCTAACAAATCGTTAAACAATTACTTGAATAATTTTATAGCTGAATTAATAATAATTTCAAATCATTAAGCTTCGACTCATGCAGCCCGTCGACCTTTTTTCTGTCTGTCTGTTTTGTGGAACTTTCTTGCGCTGTAAGCAATAGCATTGTAAGTGAAAGAGTTTTTGATTTATTCCTGCAACTTGGGTTCGACTTTCGATTACCCTTGCGACAGGCAAGGCTGTTGCAATCGGGTACTAACTAGACTTTTTCCCGTAAATAATTTTGTTCACAAGTTTCATCTCCTAAACTCTTTCATCTACTCAGCGTTTCTGTTGCAACAGAAATATTTTGGGCTTGATAGCATTTTAAATTTCCAGCCTAATCGAAATATGCTTTTAATTTATTAAAATTTTACTAACTCGATTTGTTAAAATTTATTCTTTTTCGGCTGTATTAGTTTCGGCCTATATATCGGCCTAGAGCCCTCATTTTGCGTCGTTTAATGAATGAAAACAATTTTTGTATGCGCATGTGTGCGTTTCGAGGGGGAATTGGCCTTGAATTTTTTTTCAGTTTAAAGGGCTCTGCTCATGTATTTTTGGCTTTGTGAGAAAGACTGAGAAAACGGTCAGAGGACTTGATTTTTTGAAGGTTCAGATTTTTTCCAAGTTTTTGTAACACCCATGCTTGAGACTTGAAATCCCGGGAGTTTGATTCGGTCGAAACCTGTTTTTTCAGCATACTGAAAATTTTCGCAGTGTTTTATTTATTGTCTCTGCATATTTTGTCGACTTAGTCCCGCAGAAAGGACTTTTTTCAAACTTTGGTTTTTTCTAGCACTCCGAAAGCTCCATGTGAGTTTTCCATTAGTGCATGTAATTTCGCTCCAGATAATTTGGGCTTTTGCTGCAATTTTTGTTGAGAAAAACGATTTTTGAAGATTTTTATTTAGTTTTCATTTGTTTTTAATGATAGTCATTCATTTTTCTATCGCAAGTGGTGCGAAGCTCAGCCTCGCCTCTGTGTTTATTGTCATTTTTTTGATACGCTTCATAATTTTTGAAATTCGAAAATTGAAATCAATTTTTTCTGTGTCCTTACGTTCGTTGACTATTTTCCAAATGCCTGTTGGATATGTTTTTTAATCTATGGAATTTTTTCTGGGAAAATTTGAATTGTCTGATTGTCGCGAGCCTGCTTTTTTTCATCTACTTAATTTCCAAAGCATTTGAAAAATTAAAGAGCTTAAACCATTTAAGAGCGCTGTGTCTAACATTTGGTGATGCAGGCAGTTGAGTTTCAAGATTTTGTATAGTTTTTTTCATGTTTTTAATTTAAAGGTTCATCGGCTTAAATAAATTTAGAATGGAAATATCATGCTGTTACGTGCCTCATAATGGTAGATTAAAGGGGAAAAAATTTTTTTTGATGAGGAATCGTGCAAAGGCGACGTAACAACCTAAAACTTTTATAGCTTTTAATGAAAAAAATTAATAAAATTTTTGGCTCAATGGACGTCTGCACAAGCATTTTCTGACATTTACTAGTCCGTAAATTTTGTCTCAGCTCGAATTAAACAATGGGCATTGTGTTTCATGTCTTTTTACCTCAATTGGACATTATTCGTGACACATGCCATTTGAAAATTTTATCTAAATAGTTTGTTCGGCTTCGTAGCTTCCATCTTATTTTCTGTCTGCTGGCTTACTATGCTATTTGTATGTGTTGTATCGCAAATTCTGTTATGTGTCAAAAAGTGCAATATTAAGGAGTAAGTGGATGACTAAATAAAGTTTTTTTTTCAAATCCTTGAGAAGTCTTCGCACTATACGATTTTGGCTTAAAGCTAATTGAACAGCGTAATTCAGTTATGCAATAAAAAAATGTGGTCGTAAATGGGTGCTGATCTTTTGAATGGTGGTCTTTTCAAATGTTTAACATTGTGTTAGTATGTTTCCGGTTGTTTTAGTCAATGTAGGAGACTACTTGAATGCCGTTTGTGACCGCAACTTGGCGGAGAACATCTCGCGAGTGCTGTACCCCAATGACAATGTAAGTGCATCTGAAAGAGAGAAAGTGAACGGTTTTTTGCAATTTTTTTCGTTGCAACCTTTTTTCAAAATGGAACCTACTATTTTATCTCTTCAATCAACGCAACGTTCCTCCTTTTACTTTGAAAACAATCAAAAAGCTTGAAAAACATTTAGATTTAAATTAATTTAGTCCAATTATGAAATCGCTTAATTTGGTTAAATGTTCCCATTTATTGTGTAGTTTTTTCTTAACTTTTTTTCAGGTACTGCAATGTGTATTTTTAATTGCATTGGTGTCTGTTCTTGAATACGTATGCTTGTTTTGTCATATTTTATTCTTTGAATGGTTTTTATCTGACTACTGATTTACATTCATTTGCTCTATTTTGTTCTTCAATTGTTTGCAATTGGTGTGTCATTTTCGTCTCAGTCAGTTCAGCAGACCTAAGTTTAGCATGCTTCTTAAGCTCTACATTCGGTTTCCCCTTTGAGCCATTCTACATGGCGTCAAGAATACCTAGACAATTAATGTTTATCGACCAGATTTTGCCTTGCATTTCCATTACTCTAGGGAATCTTAAACTGAAGTTGGTTTCCACATGAATACGATACGAATGCAAGAACCTTGTTGAGTAACAAGCAGAATGTTGTAGCACAGATTTGCATGCTGTCTAATATTGGCAATGAAGGTCAATATCTCGAAGCTTAAGCTACAAATAATTTTACCTGTCAGAGTATTGTGTCAAGTGAATGAGCTATGAAAAATAACTTGAATGAAGCGTGATAAATACATGAACGGATTGACTGGCCATGCACCAGCTATTCTGTTTTGTATTAGATGTTTTTTTCAGTCTTGTCAGATGTAACAAAGAGGCGTGTAGTTCTAGTTACATAGGAAAGTGTTTAAATTTTTAATCACCAGAATGAATGAATGTATGTGGTGAAATTAAAGCTGAAATCTTGTCATGAAGGAAAAGTCTGCTAGTGAAAAAGGAAATCAAAAGCCACGGACGACTATTTCAGGGAATTATTTATTGTTTCTATTGGAAAGGAATAAAAAAACAGCTCTCAGTCAAGTTCCCTGTTTACATGCTGTAGCGAGTTAGTAGACTAAGAGTGGTGTATTCAGCTTATCTCAAATAACAAATGCAGGATGTCAAAACGTGAATATATACCTCCCTCTCCAATAAAGATTCAATCGTAACTGGATGAAAATTCAGGATATCCTTTGCAGTAAATAATCAAAGAAATACGACACGTCAATGTGATCAAATTGCTTCTTAGGTCGAGTTTTCTCTGGTTGAATTTTCAAAAATAAGCCATGCTTGGTTGAAAAACCAGGGGAACGTATCGAAATTGTTTGGAATGATAAGTGTAAGAGTTTTGGCTACCTTGACCTGGCGTGGAATTCTGATCATGCTTTTCAGTTCATCGAGGGGAAAGAATTGCGACTGAAACAGGAGTACTTCCTGGTAGCTGCGTCTCTCCAGGATCTCCTCAGACGCTTCAAGGTGTCCAAGTTTGGCACCCTGGACAAATCAAGAGTAGACCTGTCGAAACTACCGGACAAGGTGGCGATCCAGTTGAATGATACTCATCCCTCACTCGCTATTCCGGAGATGATGCGCATCCTAGTTGACATCGAGGGAATGAGCTGGGACGATGCGTGGAGTCTGACCCAAAGATGTATGGCCTACACTAACCATACTGTGCTGCCCGAAGCTCTTGAGAGGTTGGCATAGATCTTATTTTTGGGCCTAGTTGTCCACTCAATTGGACAAGTAATCTAATTTCATAACAAATGAAAAGTGTATGATGCATGAAATTTTCAAATGAGTATACGTCTAGTATTTTTTAGCTCATACCTACTGTTTTGAATAAACAAAGAGCGTGAAAGCTCTCAAAAACGTGTAGCAATGTAGAAGATAGATAATTGTTGCAGATGGTCTGTGAAAATGTTGGAGTTTCTGCTGCCGAGACACTTGAACATCATCTACGAGATCAACCAGCGCTTCATGGACAAAGTGGCGCAAAAGTGGCCGGGAGACTTCCCTCGTATGGGCCGCATGTCCATAGTTGAGGAGTTGCCGGAGAAGAGGATCAACATGGCCCACTTGTCTATAGTGGGATCTCATGCCATCAACGGAGTGGCCGCTCTCCACAGCGAGATCATCAAAGAAACAGTGTTCAAGGACTTCTTTGATATGGAACCAGAAAAGTTCCAGAACAAGACTAACGGAATCACGCCAAGGTAAAAATTTAACACATAGGTAACATTTTTTCTGCGAAGAGGAAGTAAGTATCAGAAGCTAATGATTGGAAGTCTGCTAATACGGACAGTCAATTGTTTGTTGGTATCCGAAGCTAATGATTGGAAGTCTGATATTACGGACAGTCAATTGTTTCTATCACAGACTAAAATTTCGATAGTTATCTGCGTTTAAACGTCACGTTTAGTAAAATTAGCAACTTTGAGTGTCTTTACCGTTTCGAGAGGTAACGCGATTGCCATTGTGCCCTAAGGTCTGGGGTTTGAGTCCCGGCCGGACCTGTTTTTTTTCCAGTATGTATGAAATTGCATTTCTTTCCTGTAAAAATTGAATTGTCGGACTTTCATTTGTTTGCTTATGTTTTTTTTGGCTTAGATGTCACATGGGGAAGTTTCTTAAGCTGTCAGCACTTATCATCGTAAATGCAAGTGTTTTTGATTGACTCGTGTAATTTGTAAAAATTCATAACCCTGACTTCGCATTTTTCTTTGGTTTTCCTTCTTCTTTTCGCTTAAAAGCTTTATTCGGAATCAATGGTTTCATCGTATGTTTTATCGGCTCTGTTACTTTATACAAAGAGAGACGGAATAACAAAGTTTTGTAAAAATGTTTTTTTTTTTTTGCAAAAATTGAAAATCATTTTCTTGTCGCTTCAACGGCAAAAAACGATTTTTTTTTTTTGAAAAATTCAGGAGGTTGCAAGTTTTAAAATTTAACTGCTCAAAAAAAATTGACAACAGTTTCTAATGGCGTTTTTTGTACTCGGCTCAACAAATGGTGTTTACCCACTTGTTGTAGGCTCAGTGGCCGTTCGGTAAATTTTAAAAATTTATCCAAAAGTGATGGTTGCTTTTCGGCTGTTTTTCTGAAATGATTTTCAATTTTAGCAAAAAAAAAATATTTCGAAATTTTGATTTTAAAATTCTATCTCTTTGTATTTGCTAGCTTGCAATGCTGCGCTTGTATTTTATCGCAAGTAATTTAAAATTTCGATTCGCCACTGTGTTTAAAAGTGCTGCAAAATAATTTTTAAATGTTTGCCTCTTTGTTTATTGTTGATGAAGGAGCTCTTTGTTCACAAACTCTTGGTACCGCGTCAGCTCGCAGCAAAAGACAATTCAGCTCGGTTTGAAAGCTATTTTAAAACTCGGCATTGGCAAGCAGCCGTGGCTCGCTCCGCTGAAGTTACATTCGGCGCGAGTGGTAAATTGCGCGTGAATCAGTGTGTTGCTGTAATCTAAATGGTCTTGTTTGGTAATTTAAACATGAAGTTCAATTTGGTTCAGTTTTTCGTAATTTGCACCTTTGCAGACGTTGGTTGGTGTTGTGCAACCCTTCTCTGGCTGACTTGATTGTGGAGAAATTGGGCAGTGACGACTGGCTGACAGATCTGAGCCAGCTGAGGAAACTGGAGCAATGGGCGGAGGATCCTCAGTTCCTGATGGCCGTTTCAAGGGTAAGTTAAGTTAATTTTATCACAAGCTTGAGCTGTTCACATTCATTGAATCAATAATGTTAATCAACACAGTGAGTTTTCACTTATTTAGGTCTATGTCTCGTGTTTTCTGCACGCTTTTTAAGGTTTATTGGGATGTGCGATGCATTGAAATTACCAATACATTGATTTGATTTAGAGAATTGCGTTTCCAGTGAAGTTGAGCTGAGTTGCAGTGAAAATGCTATAAATATTTCCTTGGAAATTGCTCAAGTCGCTAAAAATCTGTTAGCAATTTTTGCATTTATAATCTAGAGCAAACTCCAATAGTCAACCTGGGATTCTTTATAGAGTTGATTAAAGAGTCAAATGATGATTTTTAATCGTGAATGAGCGCAGTTGATGGTTGAACGTGGTAGTTTTTTTCTTTGATTTTTACTTTCCTGGAGTTTTGATATTTTGCCAACTGTCTGGTGGCCAACTGTCTTTTTCCAAATGTTCTCTAATTCTGTTTGTTTATCAAAAAACTGACAAATATTCTTTTTTAAAGAGTCGTTGAACGTAGTTCAAAGTCTTAAATAGGTAGTGATGATTTTTTTTCAGGAAAAGTCTTCAGAATTCATTTAGGCTCAAATTTAGTTCGGCGGTTTTTTTTAAATTCAATTCGTTTCCTTTGTTGAAAGGAAGGCAAACTCCAATATCGAATAGCAAAATTGTATAAAACGCAATGATTGTGGTCGATTTCTAGTTTCGGAAATATTTACCTATTGATCCAGTTTTTTCAAATTGGATTTATTTAAATGAAAAGTGTCAATCAAATTTTTCAAGAGTTTTAAGACCATCTTGTTTTTTTTCGAAAATTGATTTTTCAATAAAAATTGTTGTTTCTTCTTTAGGTAGTTACGTTTTTCGAAATTAGATTATTCGTTAATAAGTTTAAATGAACGGTTTGAATTTTAATCCAAAAAACTTTTTTGTACCTTGTAAAAATATTGGAAGTATTTGATTTTTAAAAAAACTTTAACGTGATTCATTGTGTCTTTGAAACATAAAAATGGAAAGTTTTTCACGACTATCTTTTTTCGGTTTCGTTTAGTTGATTGACTCTTTTTACACAAACAATCTTGTAAGCATTGCGTTATTATTATTTTCCAATCCAACTAGCTTAAAAAAGTGCTCATTTTGGTGGCACTTTGATGCATAGTATTGGGATGCTTTATAGCACGCGAAATTTCTTTTTTAAAGAGTCAAGTGTTTTGGTTTTTCAAGCCTTAGTAGCTTTGTTGTGTAGGGCTGTAGACTTTGATGGCCGAGGTTTGTGGTTGTTTTACCTTAGTGGTCAGTGTTTTCCTAACCCTTTGAATTTTTATTTTTATCTAACTTTTTTGAACCTACTTCTTGATTTTTATTCGCTCGTATTCTCTTATTGTGTCCAACTGTATGTTTGCAGTGTTTCTGTAAATTCAGATATCTATTTTTTGGCTCAGAAAGTTGTGTTTTTTTGGCAATTTTTTTGCCCAATTGCTTTTTGTTCCGACCACTGACGGTGGGAAGGATTTTTGTATTTGGATGTTCTTTTTTTTGTTTTTTTTTTCTCGCAAAATCGCGTACCACAAAAATAGTTGGAAGGGGTTGTGTGATATGTTATATTAAAGCTTCTACAGTCGTGATTCGAACCCTATTAATTTTTTTCCGCTGTTTTCGCTGTTAAAATTTTTTGATGTTTGGTCTAATTTCGAGCGATAATGCGGAAATAAGTTGTCGAAACTTAGTTTTACTCAAGGAATATTAGTTTATGAAACTTCGTTTCTTTTCTTTGATTATTAGTTTGATAAAACCTATGTAAAATATGCGTTTTCTACTCTTATCTATCGAATTTTATTTTCTAGGCTTTAGTTCAGATTCGCTCATAGCCAAATAAACAAGAAATATCACAATTTGCAAAAAAAAATGTTTTTTTTTTTCGTGGTCGGATTTCTGTGCTCCTTGCACTCCAACTGGCTATCCTTTTGCGATTTGATTTTTATAAATTTACTTCATTCATTTGCGTAATGATAAATATATGAATTTCTCCAACAATAAAATCGCACAGATGGCACGCAAAATGTGAATTCGGATTAAATTCACAAACTGGATTTCAAATGTAAAGTTTACTAGCGGAATACTATTTTTTTTTAATTGAGTTAGTTTTTACCAAGGCTCAAGGAAATTCGTTTTTTTAATGTTTTTTTTTCTATTGTCTTGTCTTCATTGACTGTTTTCTCGTTTTCATTTGTCTGTCGGCTGTATTTATCTCTCAGTTTCAGATTAATAAGCCGTTAAAAGTTGCTTCGATTTGTTGTAGCTTTTTAAAATCGTCTTAGCTTCTTTTCGTATTCTCAAATAAGGATTTTTCTATCCTCTGTTGACCGTTAGCGTTAATCAGAGCTATTCAATATTCATGGTTTGTAAAAATGTCTGGGGATTTCTTTCCAAACAGGAGTGAGAGAAATCTCCCCTAAGCATTCTAAATTAAGCATTTTAAATTAAGAGTGAAGGAGAGGATAACGATAGTTTGAATTGACTGAGGGTTGCTTCCAAGTTTTTTTTTACTGAGAAACTGTAATTGTTCCTTTGTCCAGCTAGCTGCATGGTGGCCAACTAAAAACAGCTAAATCACAATTTGAATGAAAAATAACTTAAATGAGCTCCGCTTACCAAAGTCTGATGCTGATAATTAGCAGGATAGTGCGGAAGTACCACCAGAACGGGTAACGCTGGAAATTAAAGCAATTGTTTGTTTGAATTTAACTGAATGAGCCTCAAAGGATTGGTTACAAGAGATAGAAATTCGCGAGTTGATGAGAAACATGCGGTAAAAGAAACATGAAACTTGAGAACATGGCATTCAGGCTTCGGAAACTTGTGGACTGTGAATCTCTTTTAGTTTCCGTGAAATAATTGTCATTTTTAATGCTTTAAAGTTAGGTTGTGTACCGGATTACAAGTCAATTTCAGAGTATTGGTTTTTGATGTAGATTTTACATTTGATCGCCAGTTGCGATTTGTTCGGTTGTTTATGTTTGGGTGTGTGTGTAGGTGAAGAATGAGAACAAGCAGCGACTGGCACATTACATAGAGAAGGAGTACGGCATCAAAGTGGACTGCCACTCTCTGTTCGACTGCCAAGTGAAGAGGATCCACGAGTACAAGCGACAGCTCATGAACATCCTCCACGCAATCACTCTCTACAATAGTGAGTCCGCTTTTCAAAATATGTGGATTCCAGTAGAGAGGGACGGGAATTGAACCTACATTACAAGGCCATACTTGCTTTTTATAGACGCACGAGTTGTGCAATCCCGAGATAAGCCATCAAACCTGTTAAACCGGGGAATCGATTTACCAAATTGTTGTAGAAGAATTTAAGAAATACTGAACAACCCCGTATGGTACCTCAAATGCGCAGAATAGGACTAATCTCATCACCTCATCATTATCTCAGACCTCCGAATTTTGTTTAGGAATCAAGGCGAATCCGAATGCCAACATCGTCCCTAGAACCATCATGATCGGTGGAAAGGTATGAACTTGTCACTTGTTATGAGCCTATCTCGTAAAATTATGAGTCTTTGCAAATATGGTAGAGAAAATTACCTCATTTGAGCTTTCACAAATTGATCAAAAAAGAAAATCCGTATGTGGCAATGAATGTTTCTGAATAAGTCTTCTACATCATGAGCACATTTTTTGAGTTTTATCTGTTGTGCTGTTGCTAGGCTGCTCCCGGGTATTGGACAGCAAAGCAGATCATCAACCTGTTCTGTCGAGTCGCTCGAGTGGTCAACAGCGACCCTATGGTCAACACCAAGCTCAAGATGGTGTTCTTGGAGAACTACCGCGTCTCCCTAGCTGAGAAAGTCATCCCTGCCGTAGATCTCAGCGAGCAGGTATGTTTATTACGAACATGCTTTTTATATAGGAAAAAGAACAGGCTTCAAAACAGACAGGAAACCGATTTCAATTGCAAAAATGTCAAGAGGCTTCTTATTCTAACGTTCTTGGAATCTGATTAATACAGTCGGAAATCCCATTATTTTGCAACAAGCTTTCTAGTATAATTCCTTTTAAGCCATGGTTTGTTTTCCATTTTTGTAAACAGCTTTCGATGTTGGGCAAAGAGTTTTCAAGAAGGTTTTAAAAAGATATTGACATTGTTACCCTGTTTGTTGTCAGATCTCGACAGCTGGTACGGAGGCGAGTGGCACTGGAAACATGAAGTTCATGTTGAATGGGGCAGTGACGATTGGGACCCTGGACGGGGCCAATGTGGAGATGCTGGAGGAGCTGACCAACAAGGAGGACATGTTCATTTTCGGCATGAAGGTCAACGAGGTCGAGGCACTCAAGAAGAAGGGGTAAGTGCAGTAGTATTCTACATGCTTATCCTTGCACTAAAACTGCTCTATTTAGTAGTAATTATTTGTTTTCAAATGAAGATTATCATAGAAACTAATGAACTTCAAGCACATAGTTATTTTATCATATATAACCTCTGAGAGATCGCCATTGGATTATTTGATTTTTTTCTATCTGTTTTAACAGGAATGGATGTAGGATTTTCTCGAGGGGGGGGGGGAGGGGAGGGAGGGAGGGAGAGGAGTTTGTGCATTTAAAAAAAAAAATTTGTTAACCTTTTTTTCAAGTCGACTTATTTGATTTTGCGAGCCCTGCCAAAGCACTAAAAAGACCCCGCAGTCAAATTTTTGAAGAAAAAAACATGCCAAAAAATGCGGTTTGAGGCACTTTTTAGAAAATTTTAACCAAAAAAATTGCTTTTTTTGGCGCGCGCTTCCCCCTCAAAATTAGTATATTTTGAGGCCTTCAAAAAAATTTTAGGGTCAGCCGAAAATCGACATCTCAAAATAATGCAAATAACCCCCCCTAAATCCGCCCCTGTGTTTACAGGTGTTTGGGTTGTTGGGTTGTAATCGGACTTCAACTTCAAACTCTGTCTAAACTGTAACACATCGATCCCCTAAGACAACTATTAAAGCTCGACAATTACAATAATAGTATCATTTAAGCAACAGAAAAGTTTGTCGAATTGTACTGTTTTTGTACTCTTAAGCTTAAGTGATTTACGATTTTGGAAGATGTCTCATTTTCTTAAAATAAAAACCTCAGACCCGTTGTAGTGGATTTGTTTTAGAGATCCTAGATGATTGACATTTTAACTAGGCGAGAAGACTAGTAGATGAATATTGTTTGGTTTTAGATACAACCCGTACTCGTTCTACCAGGCAGATCCGGAGCTGAAGTGTGTATGTGACATGATTAGAGACGGATACTTCAACCGGGAGAACCCTGACCTGTTCAAGGGCATCTACTCCAACCTGGTCAACCACGACCACTACATGCTGCTAGCCGACTACAAGGCGTACATCGCCGCACAAGACAGAGTCGCAAGGCACTATGCTGTAAGTGTAAATGAGAATCCGTGGAAGTTTTTTTATAGGACCTGAATTTCGATTTCTTTTCAATTTCTATTCCAATTTATTTGCTTATGGCAAATGGCGCAAAATCGTGAGTGAGTTTAGTTTTGAGGATTTTTATCTTTGGGTCATTTTGGCTTTTCGTAGTTAATAAAAAATTACGCCAAAAATACCAAGTCGATCACAGACATAATTGGCTAATCGGACTTTGGTTTTTCTGCGTAAGTTTCGTCAGCTTAGTTGCCATATCACGGATTTTTTTTTACTGTAAGCAAGTATCATGGTAGTTGCAAGTGTTGATCATTGTAGATTCAGGGCGACTTGAATTTTTTTTTGTAAAAAATCCTTTTTTTTCGGCTCAACTGGTGTCTATCAAAGGTTGTCGGCTTTGTTTCCGCTTCGTAAGTTTTGTTCCGTTGCCAATTAAAATTTCAAATGTCTCGTTTGGCATGTTAAATTAAAATTGCGGCGGCTCGATGGAAACAGGTAGAATGAAAATGTATCGAATTGGGTTTTTTATTCAATTTTAATTTTTGAGACGCTTTCCAAAGTTTCGTGAATTTTTTTTGCAAATCTTAAGTTTTTCTCAAACTTCGCTACCGGTTTCCTTAAAAGGGTACCAATGTAAAGACCACCCATGCACCCCCCTGCGTGCCTGCAAAATCCCCTAGTAGCTTTGCGAAGATTTCTTTCTCACTTATTTTAGCAGAGAACGAACTAAGGTTTTGGCAAAGTCCAATTTTTGAAATAACCCATTTCATCCCGCATCAGTATGACAGGATTCCAAAATTATCGAGGAGCTACCTATAAATTTAGCTGGGCTCCTGACTATCTTTAATCGAGACATATGCTCACTTTTTCGGTTTTTTTTCATGTTTTTTTGTTTGTTTGTGTTGTATCGCAATATTAGTGCAAAGCTCCAAATTGCTTCTGTGTGATAACTTGTTAAATTTGTCATTTGGGATGAAAAAACTCATTTTTCAAACAGAAAATAATTTCGAATGCTATATTTGGCGCTTCAATGGCATAAAAATTTTAAAAAATGAGTTTTTTTTTTTTCGTTTTTTATTATTCTTTTTTGGCGATAACTCTTGTGTTCTTTGTGTTGGCTATAAATCTTGTCGATTATACCTAACTTACTAATTTTTTAGGCGTGTGTATTGTTTTATCAACACACCACGTACAAAAGCGACACTAATTTGAATAACTTAGTAATCTGCAGTAAACTCTGTAGTGAACTTTTATTTGTAGTTTTTAAGCTTATGGTCGGAACATTCTGTGCTACTTGCACAGTAACCGGCTGTCCTTGTTTTTTTTGGATATCCGAGCTGAATAGTAAAATGTATCTACTGACTAAGTTTTTTCTAATTGGGTTATTCTTATAAAAAAATTGACTGTCTTGTCTAATTGGGAAGTTTTATGAAAAACTGCCAATCTTGAAAGATTCTTGAAATTCAAAGAGCTTTAACATGATGTGTTTTTTCTCTTGGAAATTCGAAATTGATCCGTTTTTTCGGTTTTCTTGAGTTCATTGACTCATTTAACTGTCTATTGGTTATTTTTACTGTCTTTAGGTTATTTTTTCTGCCTTTCGATGAGACAATCAACGGAGTCGGTTCCAGTTTTGTCCTGTCTAACGTATCAAATGAGCTAATCTTTCCTTTTTTGATAAGCTTAGCTTTCTTGAGCATGCATTATTAATTGGGAAGAATAAAAGACGTTTTCTCATGATGCATTAGCAAGAAAAAGCAATGGGAGATTTAAATCAAATTATTGTTATCTGCTAAATAACTTGGCAATCGAAAAATTGTGCAGATGGAATATTTTTCAGAATTTGATTGTAATCTACGAGAATTGATTTTTCAGTTATTGGCTTCATAAATCTTATCTTATTCGTTTATTTGAGGTTTCATGACAGTCAAATTTGAGTCCATGCTTGAGTTCATTAGATATCGACGGATTAGCCTTGGTTCTTACAGATTGATTACTACATTCTTGCGCTTATGTTTGACAACTGATAATGACCACTGTAATTCAATAATTACAGGAAGGGGTCAAATTTTAGAACATAGGTCATTGAATAGGGTTGAACAAACTGCTGAACAAATTTGGGAACCATCAAAAGAGGCGTGCTATTGATGAATTCGAGTATTGCTACATTTGACATACATGCGTTTTTGCATAAAGTAAATTCAATTTTCGATGAAACTAATGATTTGCGACCAATATAATAATTAGTACCATTACCATTCGCTGTAAAAGGTTAAGAATTAATTTTTTCCGGGCGCTGCCAAACTGTTTGCTGCGTTCATTTGCGTTCTTTTTTCCAGTTCCAGTTTTCCAATAGTCTGTGAGCAGGCTTATTATAGGAAGATAAGCCGTGAAACTTTTATGCAAATCCTGGAAACGTAGATGAAAGTTTCGTAGATTAAAATCAAAAGTGAAGATTCCAAACCTCAAAATTGTCTATATCTATGATCAAAAGTTTTACCACAAGGGGCAAAATGATTTTTTTTCGAGTTAGTATCGGTATGTATCGGTCAAATGTGTGTGTATGTGTGTGGTGGAATTATAGGAGCTCAATCAATTAAGGTTTTACCTGTTTTCAGCTTAAAAATGACGATAAGTTCAAATAAATCTGCACTTTTTGTTTTTTTTTGTCCTGACCATAAAGGCGGCGTCTGTAATTGTTTGAAGTGGAAATTTAAGTAAACGCTGTTTGTGTTGTTTCAGAGTCCGACCAGGTGGGCTCAGATGGCAGTGATGAATATTGCAGCTTCGGGCAAGTTCTCTTCGGACAGGACGATCACGGACTACGCACAGGAGATCTGGGATGTGAAGCCATGCAAGGATATACTCCCAGAACCACACCAGACCAAGTAGAGACCCCCTATTCCCCACTTTTCGAAGGGGGTTTGATTGGGTTGTAGGAGAGAAAGGCAATGAAAATGAATGGATATATACTAATCGTCTTACTGCAACAACATACATGTGCTTCTTATTACGACTAATTGACACCAACCGAAGATGACCGATGGCGTACAGGAATAGAAGGATTCTTAGTCTTTAAGTTTAAAAATTGAATATAACGCCACTCAAGATGATAACAATTCTTTGCACTCAAATTCACATTCAGTAGAGATAGACACCTGGCACGATCGTTTAAACTTCGTGAAAGACGGTGGTGAAACAATTACAAAAAGAGCTGTACTTAAGCTTTAAAAGAAAGGGTTTCTAATCGATATCTTGGCTGTTGATTAAATGACTGTTTAGATATTGAAACTCAATTTCAGGATTGACTAGGCTTCGATTCTCGCCACTGTCTTAAAATATATAACCTCCACAAGATATTTTACAATCTAAAAATTTAGTAGAATTTATTTTTAACTGCCTCTAAACTATTTACCTCAAGTCTTCAATTGCAGAAATAATTGAATTTAAATTGACTTTTGCTGTACTATTTGAGCGCTCGAGCGGAAAAATTTGTAATTTGAGCTTATAATCCTCTGTAGTGAAACTGATGCTTACTTAAGTAGTTGGATAACACCTCGCTTGATTGATTGACAGATCGCTGGGATCTAACGTCCAGTGAAACTGAAGTAGGTCTGGGATCTCGTTTGTTTGTTCTGTTCTGAGTTTAAAAAAATCTACCATTACGAGTGTTTGCGTATTACGTGTATTATATACTTCGTACTGAATCAATGAAATGTTTTGTGAGGTGCTCCTATTTTCACAATGTTGTAATAATACTCAATTAATCAGTTCATTTCAGAAACAATAATTAGTTTGAAATTATATCGAAGCAATTATTTACACTCAAATCAATTAACTTCTGCTACTTTCTTTGTTTTTCTTTCATCCTTCCTGTAATATACAAGTACTGCACTATCGAACAGCAAAAATGTAAAAGTCACGAAAAATGTGATTCTTAGTTTCGAAAAAGGAATTTTATTATCGAATTTCCCAGCGAAATCAAAGTTTTACCAATGGATCTAGTTTTCTCAAATTGGGTTAATTTTTATCAAAAAAAGTGTCAATCAAAAATTGTTCTAGTATCGCTCGGAATAGAAGTAATTGAATCGCTCGATGTACAAGTATGACTGATCTGTCTACGGAAGAATTTGGCGAGTATCGCTCGATATGCAAAAGTGTGGTTCTTTCCGGATAAAATTAAAAAAAAAAAAATATCCGTGTTTTTTCTTTAACTGGCGTCTTTGTTGTTGTTATTCTCAATCAACTTTTTGTGTTTGCTGTAACTGAGTAATTTTTAAAGATTTTAACTGTTTTTTTTTTAGATTTGCTGCATGTTTTTTTGTTGCAATTAGTTGCAATTTATGCAGTCTTTTTTGAAGTTTTTTTTTTTCATTTTTATTAATCTTAGTTTTTAGCAAGCAAGGGATAGGGCTTTTTCCAAATGTTTCTGTAGGATATGCAGGTTCTTTGGTTGTATGATTTGAAATGCTTTATGAGTTTTTAGATCTCATGAACGACTTTTTTTCTTATCATTTCCATTTATATAATGTGAGAAAGAAATGAATGAAGTTTGTGTAGCCCAAATCTTATGTTTTAGGTTATTGATTTCTATTAGAATTGAAATAAGATCTTCTGTAAGTTTTGAGCGGATTTTTTTTTCAACAGATGTCTTAACAGTTTTGTAATTTTCGTTTGAGAGTATCTCTTACGTTTCGTTTGGCTCGTAAGTGGCGCGAAGCTCAGCTTCGCCTCTGTGAAGTAATTCTAGTTTTTTAAATGTATCCCTAGTTTTTCTGTAATTTTCTGATTGACTTTTTTTGTAAAAGGTGTTACTTTTTTCCTGTTTTTTTTCCGAAATAATTTTTGAGCCTGGAAGAATTTATCAATTGAGTTATTTCGAAATACAGATCAGCTAGATGTTAAGTCGTTCCTCGTGTTTAAAATGGCGTGTAAGAGTCGATGAATGTAGTGAAGACTCTTATATAGGTCGCGTGATGTCTTTTTTTCAGGAAAATTCTATTACATATTTGAATGTCTCCATCTGAGATAAGAAATCACTAACCTAAAACATAAGATTCGGGATACACAAACTTCATTCATTTCTTTCTCACATTATATAAATGGAATTGATAAAAACTCATAAATCATTTCAAAACTGTGTTTAAGATTTTTCAACACATTATTTCTTGCATGCGTAACGAAAAGTTTTTTGCACGTCTAAGCTCTATCGAATATTGCAGTGCTTGAGAAAATTTCCAGCTTGAATTCAGTGTTTTTTTTTGAAATTAGCAGCCCAAAAATGAGATGCTGTTAGGCTGACCCTAGGGGTTGCAAAGTAGGCCTCCAAGTATAAATGCACAAATCTTTTTAGCTTACGAGATACGAAGGAAATTCCATTCTCAACCCTGTTGTAGGGTGCTGTCAGTTTAATCCCAGGGATTGCAAACCTTGCCTCAAAATCTGACTGCTCAAGTACTCTTAGTTTGCGAGATATGACGTTTTTTAAATTTTTTTCATAAATTTTCCAAGAAGTTAGATATAAAAAACTTAACGAAGGGTGGAATTGTCGACTCTCTAGTGTGAGGCGATGTCAGGGTACTCTTAGGCGTTGAAAATCTTTCTTCGATTTATGACTGCTCAAATCTTTTTTTTTCCGAGATATGACATTTTTATGATTTTTTTCAGAAATTTGAGATTTAAGAAATTTTACAATTTTTGAAATTGGCAACCCTGTCGTCAGGTGCTGTCGAGGTTCTCTCGCATTATTGTTTCCCCAGGTGACTGCTCGAATGCTTTTTTTCCGAGACCTGATGTTTCAATATTTTTCATTGTTTCAAAATTAAAGATTTGAAAAAACTGTTTCAAAATATGAATATCCCGAGCCTACAGTTGGTTTCTCTCTGGGTACTCTTAAACGTTGTAGATCTTGCTTCCAAGTTTGATTGCTCAAATAATCTTTGTTTCGTAGATATGACGTTTTTATCGTTTTTGAAAATTTTCAAGAAAGTGTTAAATTTCAAATAAACACTTCAAATTTTGATATTGTCGATGCTCTAGTGGTGTGATGTCATGTTACTATAAGTCGATACATATATGGCCTCTTATCTTAATTTTATTGCTCATTTTTTTCATAACCTTCAATTAAATTAAGAAAAATTATTGCCAAATTTTAAAATCAATTACGCTGGATTATGAATCACATTTATGAATTTGATGATTTTGCAATTGCAGTTGTTTCAGTTTTTTAATATGGAGAGCCAGTTTTTTTGTTGTCGGCTATTTCATGGTTTTGTTTTTGAAGCACGGTCGTTTTTGAAATTATACCATTTAGTTTAAAAAACCTTTAAGTAAATTTTTTTGTTCAGATTGTGAAATCAAAAGCGTTGTTGAATTCCCCTGTCTTTTTTTAACTGCTGCATTCATTTCGCTGTTTTTTCTCCATATTTTTCATGTATAAGCAACCTTCATGCTCACTAATCTGATCACACGGTAGTCAAGTTTAGTCATGCAATTAAAGTTTGGTCATGCTCAATTTTGATTTTAGCGGTTTGATTTTTTTTTTCAAGTTCAATTCATTCTTTTCGATAATATTGAACAGAAGAAAGGTAAGGTCCACGAAAAACTTGATCGATTACTAGTTTTAAAAATGGATTTTAATTTTCAGACTTCCCAGCCTAATCAAAATTCAGCTATTGATCCAATATTCTCAATTGAGTGACATTTATCAAAAAAGTGTCAATCCTAAATTGTTCTTGAAGTTCGAAGAAATACAAGGCCATTTGTTTTTTCCTTGAAATTTGAAAATTGAATTTTTTCAAAAAACAGCAGTATTCTTAAAAAGTCGAACGTAGTTCAGATTCTTATGAAACACACGTGTTCAGTTTGTTTCCTCTCCATATTTGAAAAAAAAATAGTGCAATATTTGAAACGCTAGTGCAATGTTTGAAATACTGGTGCATTGTTTGAAACACTAGTACAATATCTTTCTTAGAAGAATCAATCAAAACAAATTAGAAAGAAAAGTTTGCAGGTTAGCGTATATATATTTTTTCAAATATCCGTGATTTGTTTGAATAACCGATCAGCAACAGCTTATATTGCATCTCTAAATTTGTACACATCTCGACACTGTGTCTCAATTCATTGACAAGTTTTCTCGATGCAATATCATCTACTACATATAGGTTTTTTTTGTTTTTTTTTCAACAAGTCTCAAAATGCTCTAATCCCAAAGGTACATTCATACTGATAAATGCGCATATGAATACCCTGAGTTATATATGCATTTTTTGAGTTCAATTAAAGTTTTTTTTTGCTAGAAGTTAGGCAAAATGCACTCTTCAATTATGAAAGCTGAAATGGCGCGAATTTAATTTTTAGCTCAAAAAACGTCAGTGATTTCTGTATACAAATTGATTGTTGGTTTGTAAGGTCGTCGTGAATTTTATCAGCTTGGCCTCTGCGATAATTTTTTGCCGTATTTTCAGGTTTCTGAGAATGCCGAAGTCAAGTCGAAAATTGCGATGTCACATGAAGGATGACAACTTGTACAAGTTCACATCTTTCAGTGATCAAATAAACTCTATCTCAGTTTCGAGCATCCAGAGATCTGTTCCTGCGGTCGCCGCGACCAGTCTTGAAGACACTAGCGTCGACAGCGAAGAGTCGTTTCTGGCTTCTGGACTCCAGTTGCAACTGGTCGAAAGTCAGACTGCACTCTTTAAGCAAACAGTTCGAAAATTGACCCCTTTTATTGGGTCATATGGAGAGGTCGTGTTCCACCAACGTGCAATTTTTTCAAAAGTTGAATCAGCTCTGGCACAATGTGATGACATGAGTTTGGTCGGTCTGCTACGTATACTCACAGATTTATGCAAAGATATTCAGAGCGACTTCTACGAGTATTTCTACAACTTATTGAACGTTTTGGGTTCTCGGGTTAAAACATCGAACTCAATGAAAGCATTATTTGCTATTTTTGGTTGCATTGCAACGTGTATTAAAATAACGCTCAATCGATTCAAATCTGAAGATGTACACAAGCTAATGTCGCATTTGGTGCCGTTTATGGAAACAAGAAAGCAACTTCAAGTCAGATTTTCTTCTGGCGCTTTTGCGTTTGTATCCAAAAAGCTGATAGAGTCAGATGATTTGGTACGGCTATTGTATGAAAATGTGAGTTTGAAAACAGTCGAAGCTTTTCAATTGATAGTAGCTGAAATTGCTAAAGGAGTCGGCGTTGATTTCAGTTTTAGATTTCCAGGACTCTTCAAATGCATCCTGATTTATTATCCTGTTTCTGACGAAGAATCGGTTCCGTGTGTTAGGTTCTTGCAAAGCACTGCTCAACTTTTTATGTCTATGATAAATAAAGAACACGCGAAACGAGAAGATAGCGTGAAGTTTTTCTGGAAAACAGCGAATGAAGTTTTCTCGTGTGTTGGGAATTTTGCACCAATTTTTATAGCCTTGAAAGAAATTTTGAACTTTCAAAATGGACGATTTGTTGCCAAATATTTACTAGACGAAGTTCTGGGTCTTCTAGTTGAGCTGAAAGGTAAATTTTCTGATAATTTCGTCAAATGGTACGATTTATGTGCAATTGTTTTAAGTTACAACTGTGCTGACAAACGATTGAAAAATCTTCATGATTTCAAAAATTGTTGTTTTTCTTTTGACAAAGAATCGTTTACGATATTAAGTGATCTGATTTGCACATGTTTGAAAATGGAATCATGTACCTTGCTCAAGAGTAGCTGCCTGCTACCAATCATTAAGCTTGCTCTAGAAGTTTTTGGAAACAGCTCAGAAAAGGAAGAACGATCAAGAATTTTGGCTGTCAACATAGTAGCGCATCTAGTCAGTCAAACAAGCAGCTCCGCTGACCAAGAGTTGAGTTTTGAAAATTTTCGTTTCATTGAAATTTCGTTGAATGCAAATAACTTGACAAAAATTGAAAAATGTGGAATTGCGTTTGTATCAAGCCGCATGACTACCAATTTTGCATGGGCCAAAAAACTGCTGAAATTGGTCGAGAGCAAACTGAACATCAATTTAGTTGGAATCGGAACGCCAGAAGTAACAGGAAGGTTGGAGCATTTTTTGTGGGACAAAATCCGCTTCACTTATGCTTTGAATCATTTAAAACTAACTGCGACACAGTTTTCGCATTTGGTCTCCCGGATTGAGAAGAGTCCGGAAGACCTGGACAATCTGGCGGCTCTCTCGATTTTCTTAAGCTCCGAATTGGGAAAAAATGGCAAAGTTGTTAAAAAGGAAGAGTTGAAACACTTGGTTGATATCTTGAAGCCAAACTTCAGATCTTTTGATCGAGAAGTTGTCAAGAATACCATTGAAGTTTTTCTGAGTTTCAATTGGCCAAATGAAAATGCGACAAACAAAACTGAAACTAATTTTACGACGAAAGGTCTGTTCAGAAATATGCTTGAAGTGGCCAGTGTTGAAATCAGTGTGCCGTCGCTGCGAGAGAAATTGCTGTACTGCGATAAACTGAAACACCACATTGTCTCTAAAACTCGAATCGGCAATTGGGAAAGTGACTTTATCGACTTAGATGACTTGATTGAAATTTCGTTTTCATACCTTGTCTCATTATGTTTTATCAGGTTTGTTCCTCTGCAAAAGGGAATTGAAGAAATCATTGGTAGTTACAGAAATCATAAACGAGTAAGGAAAGTTATAAGTGATCTGCTTCATGAGACATTTGATGCCCCAGAAGCTAGATTTTCGACTGGCAGTTTGGAAACAAAACATTTGACACCAGAAGAAAAATCAATGGCGGACTCTTTGCTTAAGTTCTATAGCCCTCAAAAAGAGTTCACATCTATCAGGCGGCGTGAAAATTTGCTCGACATGTTTAAAATGAACATAAGTTTAGCTGAAATTTCTGTGGATCAGTTAAAAAACTATTTCTTCAAATTTCTGGTTCGCGATTTTGCATCTACAACTTTGAGCAGACGAATGAACATAGAGTTAATATTGAACACGGTCTCGGTGAACAAAGAAATTGTTGTCTTGTTAAGCGAAGATGAATCACACGTACCGACCTTACTTGCGTTTTTCAAAGTTCTTTCGTCTCTGGCAAGCATGAAAACTATCAAAAACGATCCCAAAATATTACAACTTGCGAAAGAAATGTTGAGATCGAGTCTCAGTTTTTTGCAAAGTGCAGTGTTAGACTTTGTGTTTAGTTTTAAGTTGACTTATTTGGAGCCCTATAAAGATTGTATGGCTCAGCTGTGCTCAGACAAGTCGGTCAAAAAAGGGCTGAACGAGCTGAAGTTGTCAGAAGAAAATTGCCTCGTGCACGAAACCCATAGAGATAAATTTCTTGAAATAATGCTGCCATTTTTGCTGGGAAGACTGTTCAATACTGGCTGGATCTCAAATGTAGATGAGCGTTTTAGGGCTATTTTCCAGTTTGTACGATATCTTTCAGTTGAAGAAAAGGAAGCTTTTCTTACTGATGCTTTTGCTGATTTTTCTGAACTTTTAGCAGATGGTCGAAAGTCAGATTTTGAGCATTCGAAGTTTGAATGCAACATAATGTCGAGGTTTCTCTTGGTCTTACAACAAGTCTTGAGAAACATGCAGCGACTATCGTTTCTTGAAATTATGAAGACGTTTGGAAAATGTAACTTAAATATCTGTCTGTCCCTTGAGCGTTCCAAGAAAAAATGGATGAAAAATTCAGAACTGGCATCGAGAAATAAAAGACTATCCAAACAAGCTCTGGTTTGTCTTTTATCATATGTTAATCTGTCATCAGAGCCATTTGAAGAATTTGAAGTAGAGTCTATATGCCAAGTTTTACTAAAACCGGCTCTTGTGTTTAACTCCAGTGAAGATCTTTCGAAGGCGTCAATTTCAATTCAGGCCAAATTCGTAGAATCTTTTGCAGCGAATGGATTTTACAGAAAATATCTGAGTTTTCAAATGGACTCACGAAATTCAAAATCGTTACTGGAGTGTTTTTGTTGGTTTTTGCAGCCCAATGTTTCTAGTCAGTTGCAATTTTTTGTGTTGAGAGTTTTGACATCTTTAATTCCAGAAGAGAAAGAAGAAATTTCAAGTGAATGCGAAGGAATCTCAGATGATGGAATGGATGCCCAAAATGAGTTTGACGAACTGGGTGCGAGACTGCTGAAGAGTCACGCTTGCTTTGTGATCAAATTTCTCCAACTGAAGATGATGTCAGACCAGTTTAAAAAGCTGAACAAAAACGAAAGAGTAAACTTGCTGAAACTTCTTCTGTTCATGGTTTCTGATATTACATCCCCGGAAGAGAGCCTAGCTTTGGCCACTACTCTTGCGGCGTATATGAGTAAAAAGCGAAAAGTTCTGCCTAAATTCATGAGTGGAGATGTTACGAAACTTATTGTGACTTTACTCAGAAATTGTGAAAGTCCTCATTCTGTATTGTTCACACTTGCTTCGAACTTCTCGGAGAATCTGTCCGTTGAAATGCGAAATGATTTGACTGATATTTACTTGACTATTAGTCCCGAGTTCGTCGACTTGATCAAGGGTTTGAACTCTTGGAATCCGAAGTATGTCGAGGAACCTGATTTTGCGCGTCGGTTTGACTGTTTCTCGAAGATTCCCGAAATGCTCGAAAGCATGTCACCTCAAAATTGCGTTATAGCTATTGCTGTAGTTTTCAAAAATTGTTGCTTTTTCATAGATACGATAGACGATTTCGCGATTCGCGATCGCTGCGTTGAAACTGTAAAGTACATGATTACCAAGTTTGACTTGAACGCGAAAATAGTGTTGATGATTAAAACACACCTGTCTTTCATGCTGAAAACGAAACCAGAAGACCCAATTTTGATCAATGTTCTGAACATGCTGAAGTGTTTCATTGAAAATTGTCACGAGAAAGATACGGTTTTGGAGGAGCTGCGATTATTGCAAGTTGGAAAGATTGACTACATCGATGATATTTCTCAGTTACAAGTGTCTAGAAGATGCAGAGGCTTACTCAAAATTGCAGAGCTAATTCTTCAAGACAAATTTTGCATAGCTACATTCCAGTTTTTCCTGATACCGATTGCTTGGATTGCCATTGTTAAGTTCGAGCAAGTTAAAGACCCAAACTTGATTACGGCGTCAATTGAAATGCTGAAAAGCTGTGCGACTAAAATGGAATTGAACAGTTTGGTGCGCTTAGCCGAAAGATGTTTGTTAATGGTCAACCAAAACCATGAAAATCCGAAAGTGGCTTGTAGGGTTCTAGCTGCTACTTTGACCGCGTTCGGCTCAAACGATACTCTTCGTCATAAAATAGAAAGTGCGTATCAGGCGGAAAAAGCATATGTGGTTTTGAACTCGTTTGCAGGGAGAATTTTATCCATGTTGATGAAACAAAAGTTGTCGGATTCTGACATTATCGACAAGGACGAATCGAACGCTATAATTGCGAAACTGCCAGTTCATATTGGGCTATATAATGTTGCAAAGTTTTTGGGAGCGAAAACCAAAGATTTTCACGTTAAGAAACTTCTTCTGTCAATGTGTGGTTTTCTAAGGTCACGTGATAAATCAGTGAGACATGCAACACGCGGAGTTTTGATTCAGATTTTGCCGAATTTGGAAGTAGAGTACCTGAACGAACTGATCAAAGACTTGTTCCACTTGTTAGATCGAGGATACCTCCGACATATTCTAGTATTCACACTATACCGAATTCTCACTGAGTCGAAAGCGTGTTTCACAGCAGGCGATATAAGTTGTGAGAACTTGAAAGAAATTGGGAAATTTTTGATCCGAGATCTGTTTGGTTTGGGGGCGGAGGAAAGAACATCGACAAAACTGGTTTCGAGAACCGAAGAAGCCAGAAAAAGTTATGCTATTCCATGCTACGGTTTGATGGGATATTTCTGTTTAAACGAAGATATGGTCGAACTTTTAAAGCCACTTTCAGAAGGCTTAGAAGAAAAAGAAACGAGTTCGAATAAACGAACAATAAGTGATATTTTGAACCGATTCGGTGCTGAATTATTGCTCAATAAAAAACTGAAGAATTTGAAAATATTGCAGTTTGTGCAAGAGGTGTGTAACGGAAATTTGAAGAAAATGTTTGAAAAGAATTCAAAAGACCGCACAATGCAGAAGCAGGACCCTAGATTGCAACCCCGAGACTACCGGCTGTTGGATCCGGTGCCAACAAGAGTAGTTGATAGGAAAGCAAATGTAGTCACCTTTTCATATCATCATGTGTTTGTCCAATTTGGTTTCCAACTTCTCCTGAAATTGACGAGTAAATTAGACATCAATACGCTTCGTAATGCCGAAATGTTGAGCATCTTGCAACAGTTAGTTCCGTTGGTGATCGAAAGTCTAAACTCTTCTTATTTGCCTGTGTTAATTCAATCCATTCGGTGCATGAAAGAGTTTCTTAACTTGCAATCGGAAGGCGTGTTGAAATCTGAAATCTTCGACAAGCTGATCATGATTAACAAAAAATTCTGTCGAGGAACTTCCATATCTTCCGATAGTCAGGAGTTAGTTCCTGTGGTTGCAAATTGCATCAAAATCATGCTTGCTGATGAAAAATTACCAGTGAGAAATGACCAACTGACAATTATTTTAGCCCACATTGAGGAAGATCTTGCTGATAAAAATAAAGTTAAATCAAGCCTATCGTTAGTAAAAGCTATTATAGCCCGAAGGTTGAAGCATGAAAACGTTTCTGAAGTTGTGAACAAAGTTTCTAAGCTGATGATTCAATCACCGATTCCTTCGAGTAGAATCAATTGCAGAAATCTTTATTTAGACTACTTGATTGGCTATGCTCAAGAAAAAGCGGAGAAAAGTTTGGATTTCGTTCTGGCGCAAATAGTAAATTATGAAGACCAAACCGGTCGAGAATCGGCGCTCGAACTTCTGGTACTTTTCGTCTCCAAAGTAAGCGAATCTTTCTTACAGAGTGTATCGGATAAGTTGTTTTTCCCATTGTGTTTGACACTTGCCAATGACAGTGCACAAAGCTGTAGGAAATTAGCCCGACTATGTTTGGCTAAAATTTTCTCCCGTGTCGGCGAAAAAGAGTACTCTGAGTTTACGGAAACAGTTATGAAATGGATGGATAAGTCGGTTGATCTCTCGCTTTGCATGCTTGGATTTCTAGTGATGGACATTTTAGTAGAAAATTATCGAAGTAGTTTGGACGAAAAGATTGTTAATTTTTTCAAGCTGAGCTGTAAAGTCTTAAAAGACTGTAATGAAAATCAAAGTCGGCCAATTCTAGGAATTGATAGCAAAGCCACTAAAAATGAAGAACGTACAAGAGTTATTGACTATACTGTACTGTCAGTACTGAAGCTTCTACATCGTGTTTTCAACATCTTGGATTTTTCTCCCGATGGCCAGAAAAAATTTACCAAAGTCTTGCCTGAAGTAGTAGAAAAAGTGAACGAGCATTTGAGTTACCCACATGAATGGGTTCAAACTGTTTCCTGTCAGATTTTTGCCTCTATTTTCTCGAAATTCAACGCTGAAGAGTTTCTAGAAAGTTCTTTTGCTCGTATAGCTTTTGCTTTACAAAATCCCGGTCGCGACAAAATATTGACTGATTTTTTCAAGAGAACTGTTGACAGTTTAATAAGCAATGTTTCCTTTATTGAGGCTGGTAAAGAGCTCATGAACATATCATTGAAAGATGTTGTTTATTTGACTCTGATCTTTGCGGCGGAGTTTTTGAAGGATTCTACCTTTGGATCTGCTTTGTTATCTGAAATTATTGATAAAATGAACCTTTTAGCCCTAAAAGAGTCGAGATTCAACCAGAAAAGCATAACCAAAAGACAGTTTGTTTTTGACTGGAATAAATTGATCCTGCAGAGCAAACAACTTATCCAATGTTGCCCCAAAATGCCCGAAGAAACTTTGCACAAGCTCCTGTTCCCTGTTGTAAGAGAGCTTATTTCCAAGTCTAATAATGATAGTAAACCTGAGTTCAGCGAGATGTTTCAAAGCACTTATCAATGCTTTGAAAAGGCTTTCAAAAGTCTGAATAAAGAAGGAGAAAACGAGACTTTTTTGTCGTCTCATTACACACAGATAGCAGCGACTTTACGTGAAAGAAAGTTAGAACGAACAGTGATGAAAAAACGAGAAGCTGTACTGAATCCAAGTGTTCACGCGGCTAAAAAGACAGAGCAGTATATGAAGAAAAGAGTGAATAGAAAGAGAAAAATTGCAGAAAACAGAGGCAAAGTATCTGCGAAGAAAGGAAAGTTGGGATCGAAGGCTAAGAATTCAGAAGAAATTTTGGTTGAAGATCTAATATAACTCGCGTTGTATGAAAATAATCGACTTCTAAGTGAAATTAAAAGAAATTGTCATTGCTGTTCTTACCACTCCTTAGGGAAGAAACTATGGCATAGAGTGTGTTTTATCTTCTCGATTGTTGATGATAATCAACTTCTACCGCCAGATCTAACTTTATCTATCTGTCTATCAATATCTATCTATACATTTGATGGGCGTTTCACAACATGTTTAAGAAGTCCCTGTGTTGACATGTTTAGCTTTTTCAACGCATCATTTCACTAGGCACAGGTTTAAGTAGTCCCTATGTTGGTCTGTTAAAAGGCCAAAACACTGCAATGGTTGAAATGTTTACTCAAGTCGACGAAATTCTTCAGCCATAAGTAAGGTGCTGTCAGGGTTAACTCAAGAATCGCAAATCTGGCATCCAAGTTTGACTGCTCAAATCCTTTTGGTTTTCGAGATATGGCGTTTTTTTTTTTGATTTTTTCAATTTTGTTTTTCGAAAACCTGAGATATGAAAAAAAGAGAACTTGAAATTTTCCATCCTTCAGTGAGATCCTGGGAGGGTACACTCAAGAGTTCACGCAAGTCTGGCGTCAAAGTATGACTGCTCAAATCCTTTCGCTTTTCGAGATATGGCGTTGATTATGATTTTTCATTTTTTTTTCCAAAAAACTTACAAAAAGTACTCGAAATTGAAAGTCTCAAACCTAAGCGCGGTCTTTATATGTCTCAAATCTTTGATATGCTTGAATTACTTATGATTTTTACTTATTTATTTAGTAGACTTTCACTTAGTAGACTAAGTTGACTAATTGAAAGTCTGAAAGCGACAATCTACAGATCCAATCGACAACATGAGCAACATGAAAAATTAGTTGCGATTTACGCATTAACATTTTTCAACAATGGCATCAAAGTGGAGTGCTAAGCCATACTCGACAACTGCAGCAGCTACTCATACATCTTCAGCAAAGCAGCTGGAAAATTAAGGGGCGCTTTTAGTAAAGATAGTGTCGTCCTCTTTGTACGAGGCGCTTTCAGTAAAGACAGTGTCTTCCTCTCTGTTCCAGCTAACTATCTGACCAGAAAAGGCTACTATGCCTAAATTCACTGTATAGTCAGTCTAGTCAGTTAAAATTCTGATATTTGACGCCATCGATTTATACAACCTTAACAGAACGTGCTCGCTCTACAACCATCTTCGATATGGCAATTTTCCTGATCTAGGCGACAACATAGTGCAAATTGTGCTAGGAGTAATGGCAATTTAAAACGCTGTGGAACAAAATATCAGGAAAGGTCGTACAGGCACCACTTACGCTCTCAAAAACCTACTAGGTTGGACAATCACTGGCCCGCTCAACCAGAAATAAAATGTGACTGAGTCAGTTTCGCAATTAAGTAACTTCATTGACACAAACGAACAAGAAGACGCTACTCTTACTTAAATAGTGGGAAATTCTAGAAAATGGAAGGATCAGGCATCCACGAAAACAACAAAGCTACTTTTTCTGAAACAAGCAAAAGACAACTAAGTTTTATGGAACAATGCATTAAGCACGATGGATATCGCTTCAAAAGAAGTCTACTCTGGCAAAGCGAAGTGAAAATAGCCAACAAGATCCAGTAGCAAAATCTGAACTGCAATTACTAGGAAGACGGTTCTAAAAAAAGGATCCTGAAACGATGCAATTTTATGACAAATCCCTTAATATTGACCTGGAAAATAACTACGTCAAGTGCGTTAGTTTTCAATATTCACAGCCGGAATTCTCTTGGTACCTCCTGCACCACCCGTTGAGTATTCCAAACAAGCGCGAGGATGTACGTATGTTGGCAAACGCAGCCTCGATGAACAAAGGCGTCTCGTTGAAGTCTTGTCTTGAAACTGGACCAGACGCTAGCAAACAACATGTGTTGGCCTTCTAGTATGATTTCGGGAAAAATATGGTCGTATCGGCGGATATGGAAGGCATGTTTCTGCAAATAGGTTTTAAAGATGAGGATCAAAATGCGTTTTGCTTCCTTTGACCAACCAAAAATTGTGTGAAACAACGCCAATACACCCGACGTATCTATGGTGCAAAATGGTCACCATCCATTGCCATCTTTGAACTTCGAACAGCTGCTGATTACTGCGTAACCAAGGTCAATATTGCTCCAAACTGTTGCATGAAAGCTTGTACTTGGACGACATCGCCCATTCATTCGTCACGGCAAAGGATGCTAAAGACACTACAACACGGCTAAAATCGTCCCTAAGACAGGTGAATTCAACCTTACCAACTACAGTGAATGGGGTCCCAGGCATCATATAGGACAACACTAACCATACGATCTTCGCGCAGCCAACAACCAAGGTAACTTTTACTACATATTCTATACTCCGAACAGTTCTCTCTATAGTATCAAGGGTTTTCGACCCACTAGGTATTCTAACGCCGTTTATCATAAAATTTATTCTGAAAAACTAGTGAAAGTCTGGTATATGCTGGGACGAACCTGTGCCTTGAGACTTCGTTCTGATAATTAGCAAATGGGTCGAGCAATGGAAACAATGCCGCATGTGCGGCTACCGAGCTTATTTGGGCCACAACTGTCACCTAGTGACCTACAGCTTCATGTGTTCTGCAACGCATCGGAATACGCCATGCCTACGTGTATCTACTTCCGATCTGCTGGCCGTATCGTTACTTTTTTATTGGCAGAACAGAGGTAGCTACACTGAACCAAGAGAGCTTTCCAAACTGGAAATATAAGTAGTCTTGTCGGAGCATGGCTGTGCCAATTTGCTACTTATGAAATTGAAATGAAACCCCAGGTCACCCACTAATGGAAAGATAGCACAACAGCTTTGTTCTAGTTTGCATCACCCTATTTATTGCGCCAAAGGAGTCGATGATATTTTTTTTAAATGAAAAGCTGATCAATGGATAGACAATCCTGGTAAACTCAACCCAGCAGACAGCGCTACAGTTAAGTTTTTACCGTTATAATTTTTATCGGTATCTTGCAAGGAAACGTGAAACGTTCAGTTATTATAGAACACCTGGAAAAAGCCAAGATTCTCCTTAATGAGCAATCCCAGTGGGAGTAATTTGTTCAGGCCTACATTCAGCTACGAACCAAGTAGCAAGTTGACTAGAAAAAAAAACAGAACTTAACAGTTCTTTCTTTTTCTCGACAACAGTAATCTTCGCGCGCGATGACGACTAAGCATCCAATATTACTATAGGAACCTATTAACTACTCTGACAACGCTACCTACTTCATCAGCGCCTGTAAGCAACTACGCTCGAAACTATTAACTTTAACGAAACGACGATAACTGAAACACTGCAAATCTAAGTCCTCTGACTGCGCCTCATTCTAATGGCGTGTGGGAGCGATTTGTTTCAAAGATAAAACAAGCTTTCTTACTGAATCTTAGTTCTGACCGACTATCGAGGGATCCTTTTGCTACTATTGTAGTCAAGACTGAGGCAATTCCTAACTCCTGTTCACTACTCATGTCGGCTGTGACATTGACGACGATTTTCCACAGACACCCAACCACATCCTTGTGGGTCGTCCATTCGTCTACGCTCCAGCAGCAGCCTTCTATGAATCATCTACTAGTAAACTGTCCAACAAGTCTTGGAGTAGAGCAAAAGATAAACTTGTCCGTTGCTGGAAGCATCTTCTTGAGGAGTACGCCCCAACTCTCATCAAAGGAAATATGTAGGCCACCCGAGGAACCACTTGAAAAAGATGTCCTCATAAAACACACTCAAGGCAAACGGGAGGGGGACGACCCCAATCCTTAAAACTTGAGGGCTCCCCGAGGATGTTGCTGATCACCACCTTTCGCCGACATACCTAATTTGATTTCAACTTAAGAGTTAATTGTCTCAAAGTTTTGATATGCGTGAAATACTCATGATTTTGTTTCATTGGGGCCAACTTGAATAATTGAAAATCTGAGAGCGACAATTTTGAAAGACATCAATACCGATTTTGACTACTTCAAAGAAAGAACTTGGGGAAGGGGTTCAGTTGGCCAGGTGTAGTATCATATCAAAGTCCTCTTTCCACCGTCTGCGTTTTTCCTGTTTTTCTGTAATGGTGACTAGCAGTTTTTCTGATTTGGTCTAACTTAGTTTTTGTTCGTTTTTGGTCTAACTTACACTTGCGAGAGCAATGGTATTTTAACTGAGAACTATTCTTACCTACACTTTTATAAAACTGTAAGGTATACTTGGAGGCTGACAGTCATGCTCAGTTTCTTGAAGAATCAAATAAAATAAGCGAGGCCATATTGAGTAGAAATCATTTTTTTCAAAATTTTTTGTTTACTTGAAGTATTTTTTAGGTTTTGTGGTTTTCGTCCTAGTTTTTGTCGGATCGTTTTACGTTTTTTTTTTCAAATGCAATTTTTAAACCCTATACTCCTTATTAGTATGCAGAGAAAAATGTTCTGCTTCAAGAAAAACTGGTATTAAGTTATATTATTTATACTTTTATTCAAGTCGTCAAAATAAGTTAAATTTCCGTAAAAATTTTTGAACGTGTTTTTCTGCGCTTTCGTGAGAAAAAAATTCGAAAACTTTCTGCTGTTTCAGTTTTCATTTTTTTTTTTGGTTTTTTCCATGCATTTTTCGGAGGAGCCTGTCGTCGAATATGTCGAATTTATTTAAACTATCGAAATTGATTTATTTTTTTACACAAGCGAATATGCTCAGATCCTGTGTGCAGATCCTATCATCAGACCACGATAAAAACAATCGTGTTTAGGAAAAAAAAATTTTTTTTTTTCATTTTTGTGGTCGGAATTTTCCGTTCCACTTGCGCATCAATCAACCATCCTTGTTCGATATAAATTTGTTTAGTATTATCCGTTTTGCAGATCTCAGCCCATGTGATTTTTCTGACTCTAATAATTTAGAGCAGGCATATAATAGGCTTTTCTTTTTTGTTTATTTTTGATTATTTTTTAACCAGCATAAGCAATCTAACTTTCGATAACAAAATTTGCAGTTTAGCTCATGCTATGACAGCCGGAAAGCCAGCGATAGGTTTGTTGAAGGTTGCCCCGTAAGAAGTAAATATCAATGACATCATATCAAATCAAAATTACGAAATGAAATAAAGATCAAACAAGAGGCCTTTTTTATAAACAATTTA